TCCACCTTTAGAAAACTAAGACTCTGAATGGACACAAGAGCAGAAGTATCATGAGGATAGATTTCCACAGTAAATAGGACTAAGTTGATGACAGAAAGCCTTGTGTGAAAGGGAGGTAGAGGGCATAAGCCCTATCAAAGTAACCCCATTCGCAGCTCTAGCAGATAATCTTTTAACCCTGAGTATTAGACCCTAGTACAGTCTGTATAGTATATCCTCCCAAAGCTATAATAACCAGAACAGGACCCCTGAGATACTGTCATAGGACTCTGATATCCAGGGGGATGGATGTTGTTTCCTCCCTGCCTCTTCTCCTAAAGATCACTTTTTCCACAATCTACAATGTTCTGAACTTGTCTGACCCACCAGGTCAGGGTCTTGTTGTTATGACACCCACTTCTGGGGCTTGCCTTCTCCCCAGTCCTCTTCAGGGTTCAAACTTGCATCTTGGGGGCATGATGGACTCTTTCCTGGAGAAATTGTACCCATAGTTAAACTTCCCTCCATGCTGTTGCTTCCCCTCTATGACTCTACTGCCACCACCCACACGTAACAACATATAGCATTAACAAGATCCAAGAGGCAATAATAGAAAGGGAAGACCCACTCAAAATAACTACAAAATGAACAAAATCTTGAAGTCAGCCTACCAAGCGCATTTGAGAAGTGTATGGATATAATTACAAAATTCTACTTAAAGAAATAAGATATTCAGGGGCAGCTAAGTGGCGCAATGGATAGAGCACCAGCCCTGAAATCAGGAGGACCTGAGTTCAAATTCGACCTCAGACCAAACACTTGACACTTACTAGCTGTGTGACCCTGGGCAAGTCACTTAACCACAATTGACTAAAAATAAATGAATGAATGAATGAATGAATGAATGAATGAAGAAAGAAAGAAAGAAAGAAGATATTCAGTGCTCATGAGTGGGCTATGCCAGTATAATTTAAATGATAATATTACCTAAATTAATTTATAGATGTAAAGCTGTACCAGTCAAACTACCAAGATTATAATTGAGTTAGACAAAATAAAAATAACTATATTCATATTCAGGAGCAAAAGGCCTAGAAACTCAAAAGGGAATGAGTGAAAATTAGTAGAAATGAAAGCTGAATAATACTTCCAGACTTCAAGTTATCCTAAAAAGTAGTAATTATCAAAATTACTTGGTATTGATTTAAAAAAATAAGAATGTATATCAGTGAGATTGATTATATGAGGTAGAATCAGATGCAATGAAACTCAATAACGCAATGTTCAATAAACATAAGAACATGAATTATTTTGGGGGAAATTCCCTATTTCATAAGAATTGTTAGGAAAACTGAAAAGGAGTTTGGTAGAAACTAGTTTTAGACCAACATCTTACACCACATATCACAATAAACTCAAAACGGATGTGAGGCCTGAATATTAAAGTCACTGGAAAAAAAAAAAAGTAGAAAAAAACCAGATCAGGTTTCTTTCACAGCTATGGCTAGGGGAAGAATTTTTTAACCAAACAAAGGTTAAAGAGAAACACAAAGAAAAGGACACAGTTCATTTTAATTGAGAAAAATTGAATAGTTTTCATACTATCAGCTGCATTTTCACTTAACTAGTCTCATGTCCAACTGAACAATGGATTAGAATGTAGACTATAGAATAAGTAAAGCAAAGCCGTCATGCTGCATAAGAGTGGTCCAGTTGTTTGGGCAATCATAAAGTCTAAATCAGATAACAAAATTTGAGAGAAATTTATGGAAGATCCTTGAATGCCAGAGAATTGACATCTTTCATATAAGGAATGGTTTTATGGGAGAAACCTATATTGAAGTCCTCCTCTGATCTTTTTTCTAGGTAGATAGGTGACAGTGGGTTCTTAGTGGCTATGTGGGCAAAGGACGTGCTTTGGTGGATCCTACCAAGCAAAAACTTTCTATTGTATACAGTAATAAACTATGTACTTGTCCTCCAGGGACCAGACTAGTTATGGACAAACAGCTTCAATATTTGGGGGATAGGGAAGAGGGACCATGAGATTTATATTATTATATTATATTTATATGTAATTTTTGTATTATATTATTATTATTATTTGTTACTACCTAAGCAACTTATGAAGACCATCTACTAAGAAATGTGTCTCTTAGAGGGTAAGGGGTAGTACATTTTTCATTGGTGAAAAAAGCACTTACACTAATGAAATCATAGAACCTTTGAGATTTGAAATGTGTGGGAGAAAAAAAAAGTAGGAGTTAACAGGTGATTAATGTACCATAAATGAAAGCATTATGGAATAGTCACCATTGTCAATATTTATAATATATGTTTGCTATACAGCTTACTAGGGAATTGAGGCTATTCAGGAAAGCTAGCAGAAAATACTCACTCATGGGAAGGGATAACAATAAGAATGAATAGTATCGGCCAGGAGAGAGGATTTTTTTCATTCAAAGTTATTCTTAGTAGTTCTAAAAAAATTATGTGTAAAAAAATTAAAAGAATTTCATTAGAAAGGGGGAAAGATTAAAATAATAGTATTGAGGAAATAATGGATTTTTTAAGTAATGTCATTATAAACATTTCTAAAATAATTTCTTACTTGTATGCCCTATAATATATACATGTTAGTGTATATGTATATGCATATTATATATATATATATATATGCACAGGCATAAGTTTTACACATGTGCATATATACAAATAGTTATATAGTTATGCATACATTTATATATAAGTATGAGTGTCTTTTACATAAAAATATTATGAGAATTAAAATAATAAAGTAGGCAGCATGATATATTAGATAGTGAGGTGGCTACAAAATGAGTAAGACCTGGGTTCCAGTCTCACCTCTGACATGTAACTGGCTGTGTTGTTCTGGGCAGGTCACTTAACTCCTTGGTGCCCCAATCAATTTGAAGCCTGTAAGTTGTAGAGAGGCTGATGATCTGAACTGATAAAAGTTCCTCCTGGGGAGTGCCCTATACTGATGAAGGAATACAAGGGTAGTTTAAGAGCAACAACCACAATCATGACAACCTGCAATGACTATAAGTGGATAGAAAACAGACAGAAAAAAAATTAAATAAGGTCAGAAAGGCTCACCCTTAAAGAGTCATAGATTTTATTCAGAAAAGACCTCCAAAATCACCTAGACAAAACCATGCCTGAACAGGAATAATTCCCTTCATGTCATCTTTACGAGTGATTATCCAGTTTTTATTTGAAGACCTTTATTGAAGGAGAACTCATGACCTCAAAAGGCAGATCATTTCATTTTAGGACATTCTAATTTTGAGGAAAGCTTTTTTCTTCTTCTTCTTTTTTTGTAAGGCAATTGCATTTAAGTGACTTGCCTAGAGTCACACAGCAATGAACGTTATGTGTCGGAGGCTGGATTTGAACTCAGGTCCTCCTGACTCCAGGACCAGTGCTCTATCCACTGTGTCACCTAGCTGCCCTGAAAGCTTTCTTTACATAGAGTGAAAAATTTGCCTACTACTGTGTCTTTCCCTCTTTCTGCTCCAACCCAATCACCCTACCAGATGCCAAGTATTTCAAGTCTAATCTTTCTTCCCCTTTAAAACACTTGAAAATAGTGTTATAGATAGTGTCTATTCTCTAGGTTAAACAATTCCTTTAACTGATCTTCCTAAAACATATTCTACAATTTCCTCACAACATTGGTCTCCTAGCTTTGGATATGTTCCAGTTTGCCTTGTCCTTCCTAAAAATATGTTGCCCAGAACTGAACTCATCATTCCAGATGAGGTCTAGTTAGGGCAGGGGACAGTGGAACTGATCTATCTCCTGTCGTGGACATTATATCTCTCTTAGAGCTGCCTCATTGAATTGGCTTTGGCTGACACTTCATCCTATTTAATGTTAAAAGAATAGAGAAGTTAAGGTTCCTCAGGTATGCACAGTCCTACCAAGGTTCTCCATGAAGGGGTTTAAGGAAGAGGGGGGCAGGAGGAAGCATTTCTTAAATATATACCAGCCACTGTGCCCTTTACAAATATTACATCATTTGATTCTCACAATAACCTTGTAAGATAGGTACCATTATTATTCCCATTTTTCAGTTGAGAAAACTGGGGCAAACAGAGGTTAACTGTCTTGCCCAGGGTCAAACAACTAGTAAGTGTCTGAGACCAGATTTGAGCTTGGGTCTTCCTGACTCTAGGACAGGTAGGTATCTTTGCCAAGAAAAACTCAAAGGGGTCACAAAGAGTCAACATGACTGAAACAACTCAACAACAACTTCCTGACTCCAAGCCAGTACTCTGGCCACTGTGCTACCTAGCGTCTAGAAGAAGAAAGGAATTTTCAACTTTTTTAATCATTTTGCTGTTTTTTTAATGTAAAACATTTCCATATTAGCCATTTTGTACAGGAGGACTCAAATAAAAAAAAAGAATGAAAGAAAGTGAAAAATAGAATGCTTCAGTCTCTGTTCAGACAATATCAGTTCTTTCTCTGGAGGCAGATAGTAAGCTTCATCATTAGTCCTTTGGGATTGCCTTGGATCATTGTATTGCTGAGAATAGTTAAGTCATTCACAGTTCATCATACAATATTGCTGTTACTGTGTACAACTCCTGCTTGTCATTTCTTATAGCACCATAATATTTCATCACAATCATATCTCACAACTTGTCCAGCCATTCCCCAATTGATGGATATCCCTTCAAATTCCAATTCTGTGGTATTGCTGAATCAAATGGTATACCCAGTTTTATAGCCCTTTGGGCATAGTTCTGAATTGCTCTCCAGAATGGTTGGATCAGTTCACAACTCCACCAACAATGCATTAGTATCCCAGTTTTCTCATATCCTCACCAACATTTATCATTTTCAAGATTCTTCAATTTAAAAAAAAAATCTCCATATCTGTCCGGTTCTATTGCCGGACCCCGAGCGAGCTCCTCTCGGTGGGTTCCGCTTCGGACGTCTCCGGATTCCCTCCCCGGGGGATGGCGGGCAGGGACTCAGTCAGACACTGCTTCGGGAGGCATATGTTTTATTAATTGCGGAGGAATCCCCCGAGCAAGCTGGGGCGTTGGTCTATATAGGGTCTGTCTTCCGGGTGGCCACCCCAATCCGCCCCGAGGGCGAAACCTGCCACCTGTATGGAGCAAAGAGTCTCGCCCAATCCCATCCTTACACGTACCCCGTGTAGGGAGCCGTGTCTTTCTGGGATTGGGGGCTCTCACTCCCAGGGAGGTTCCTATCCGCTCAGGCGACTAGGGCCGACCGCCCCTAACAACTCCCCCTTTTTGTTTACGCAGGAATATATCCGCTTTTACTTGCTCTAAGACCATACGCCAAAGCCGTACCACGTAAGATAGCAAGCAGGGGAGGCATATACACATGACCAAGAGAAAGAAAACCATGCTTCCCATACTCAGTACATAATTAAGCCAATTAGACAATTCAAGCTGGTTAAACCACTCGGGGAGAATGCCATGGTCCTTTTGTATCTGCTGCTTATATTGGTCTGTCTCATTCTTTATCTGTAGTACTATATCTTCTAGGCGTCTGAGATAGTCAGACATATTGCTATGCTCATTCAAGGTCCGGCTTGCCTCATCCAGCTCCCTGGATGCGTTGTGCACGGCGGCCGTCATGCACATTGGCCTGGGTAGTACATGATGGCAAGGGAGGCCCTCTAGCACGGAGTTAACCTGTATGAGGGTGGCTAAGGCTTGCACGGCCGATGTAAGGGCCGACAATTCTATGGTCACCAATTTATTAATGTCTTGTTGGGCAATCCAGGCCTTGGTTGTGAGCTGCATAAAATCCCTAAGATTATCTTCGACTAGGCCTACTCGCTTGTAGAGGGTGCTAATCTCCACTTGTTCTATCAGACTGGCCACTAGCCCAATGAAGTCCACAGCAGTCACTTCAAAGCCCCTCTTACCCCGGTTCAGGACAGCCCGAAAGAAATCCGAGTCGGCAAAAGGCTTGTCCGTTCCTACCGGCAAGAAGGTCAGAGGGGGTGTTGTGAGCACGAACACCCGGGTCTCATTAGTTATGTTGATGGACATGAGTGTGTTGGTGAGCTTCCCCCCATTTGGGCAAGTCACGTTAAGCCCAAGGGAGGTGTTAGTTATGGTGGCATTCTCACAGAGGAGGAACATGTCCATATTTCGGACAGTTTGTGTATGAATTGTGAAGTTGTTGCAGTGTCCCTTGTGAAGGTGTTCGGTGCATGTGTATCCTTCTTTAAAGAGGCGGTCAAACCACGCTCGGTTGATCGTGGCATTATCCGCTAAAGGGGCGGAATTGTCCGTCATGTGGATGACCTCTCCGAAAGCAGCGGCGGCCTTCCACAGGTGGAGTTGCGTCTGCAGGGTGGCGTTATGCAGCACGTGTGGTACGGGGGCAGGAAAGTAAGGTCCGGGGAATCCATCCATGAAGTACACCTCAGTTTTCGATGTTGTGTTAAACTCGGGTCCCCACACCAGATGCCCTGTAGAACATACTTGCATAACATCAAACATGTTAGGAGTGGGATGACAAGGGGGTAATGGGGAGGATGGAGGGTCACTGTTCTCAAAGAGTGAGACGGTGGCATTAAGCCAGTCCTTCCTGTTACATGGGACATCCGGCCTGGACTTATTGGACCCAGAGCAATTGCTCCCAGCAGCCTGCAGCAAGCGCTGGAAGGCTGCCGATCTATTCTTAGCTGCAATGGCCCACATATGTAAGAAATCCCCCTGACCAAGGTGGGAGTGGGGCCCGTGTGGCGTCTCTCTGATGGTCATGTTCTGTACCTGGGCACACCACGGGTCGGAGACAGCCTTGGTCAGGCATATGGGGAGATGCTTTGATTCCCAGGTAACTGTCTTATTAAGTACCCTGGCGACCACTGGGCCAAGGCTGCTATGGCCGCCCAGGACCAGGGAGCCTGATCCCGCCAACCTCAGGGGCACCGGGTCACCCACCCATGTCGCTGGTGCCGCATGGGGAAACCCTGGGATGACTGTCCAATACACATAGGGTGGTGTGGAGTTGGTGGTTTGGAGTAGGGGAATATGGGCCCCGGACGTTACCTGGAGGCTGCCAAGCAGCCCCAGGAGCAACATCAACTTATCCATTCTCCTTTTCTTTTCCGTGCGGTTCTTCCGACGCCTCCTCTTTTGACGGTGTCTCCTTCTTCGTCGGTTCGTCGGTGCACAATCTTGTGTTTTTCGTGGGTAGCCACTGGGGACCACGATCTGTTTGGATACAAATAAACCCCTTTCCCCTTATTAGGACCCTATTTGGGCCGTGCCACCGGCCTTCAGGGTCTTTCCACCAGACTGTGACCCATTCCTTTGCACCTGGTGTCTCCAGCGGAAGCGCTGGTGGACTTTCTGAGGACACGAGCAATTGTTTCATGGCAGGGGTAATGTGGTCTTCTCCTTCAATTAAAAAGTTCCTCATAAACACTGCTTGAGCCAGTTGGGCGGCAGTGAGCCTCCCTGGCACTCCCCCTTTTTGTTTAATAAGGGTGCGTTTGAGGGACCCATTGGCCCGTTCTACGATGGCTTGCCCAGTCGGGTTGTAAGGAAGGCCCGCAATGTGCCGAATGCCAAAGCGAAGGCAAAATAATCGGAAAGCGGAGGAAGCATATGCAGGGCCATTGTCGGTTTTGATAACCTGCGGGAGGCCCTGACTGGCAAAACAGTGAAGACAGTGAGCGATCACATGCCGGGCTGCCTCCCCAGGTTGGAGGGACGCCATTATTAATCCCGAGAAGGTGTCAACACAAACATGTATGAGGGAAGAGTGGAAATGGGTTACATCCATCTGCCAAATCTGATTGGGTGCGAGGCCCCCGGGGGTTGCTGGGAGCCTGGCTGGGGGGGGGGCCGGAAGGGGACACAGGCGCGGCATTGCTGTACTATGCGGCGTGCTTCTTCCCTGGTGATGCCATAAAGGCGAACTAGCATTTTTGCAGGTAAATGGAAAACATGATGGGCTTGTTGAGGGTCCACCTGCATAAGGAATAATGGATTAGCTTGGAGGGCAGAATCCGCGATATCATTACCAGAGAAAATGGGGCCACTGGCGGACTGATGAGACCGAACGTGGAGTACATAAAGAGGGTGTACACGGCGTAATAGCAAGGCCTGAATATCCTGAAACAACTCCCTAATTGCAGAGGTGGAAACGGACAGATCTGCAAGAGCTAGGTGTTGTAATGCAAAGTAGCAATAATAACTATCAGTAACCAAGTTAAAGGGTTCTTGGGCACAGAGAGCGAGTGCCACCCGTACTGCAAAGAGTTCATTTTTCTGTGCAGAGGTGTAGGGGGTGTGGAGAACTTTGAGAAGGCGCTTATCGGGGATATAAATGGAAGCCTTATTCTTCTTTGTTGCATCAGTGAAGACATTGCACCCCAGAACGGGGTTTTGCATCACCGGGTTGGAAGGGTAGCGGAGGGGCAGCTGGACCCACCCCCTCATAGATGGGGGTAAGGTGCCCTGCGTAACCGGTAGTGAGGTGAGTAAGACAGCCCAAGGTTCGCTGTCCTGGGCGAGTTGTTGTAGCGCAGGCAGGGGCTGGGTGAGGAGCAGTTGTGGTTCTTGGCCACTAAGCACCCGTGCCAGGGAGGAGGCTTTGAGTAAGAGGAGGCCATCCGCCTCAAGGCGACTGGGTAGGCTCCCTTTTGGGCGGTCCGCATGGACCCACTGAAGTGGTCCCGTGACCTGGAATATAACGGCAGCCCGCCCCAAGGTATGGTGGTGTACCAAGGTGACATACAAGGGCAGTGTGACATCTACCCTCCTGACAGTGGCTTCCTTCACTATCTCTTGAATGTGGCGCATGGCCTCTAGGGCTTCGGGGGACCACGTGCGTGGGGAGGTGAGCTGGGAGGCCCCTTTGAGGATATTATATAACGGTCTCATGAGGTTATTGGTAATGGGGGCAGTGTTCCTGAGCCATTGAATGGCGCCAATTAGCCTTTGAAAGTCATTAAGGGTACGTACCTGGGAGGTGTCAATGTTTGGGAGCTTGCTCACCCTGTCCTCCCAGACCTCGTACCCTAAATAGTGATATGGGGGCCCAGTTTGTATCTTCTCCGGAGCAACCTTCAAACCTTGTTCGGCCAGGGCAGCAGTAAGTTGGCCCAGCAACTCTGACACCTCGGGTTTGGTAGGTGCGGCCACTAGGATATCATTCATGTAGTGGATGATCAAAGCCCCTTTGTGTCTCTTCCGGACTGGTGCCAGTATGCGCGCTACGAATATCTGGCACAGGGTGGGACTGTTGGCCATTCCTTGTGGAAGGACTTTGAATTGATATCTCTTGTGGGGTTCCTGATAATTTATGGAAGGAACACTAAAGGCGAAATGCTCACAATCATTGGGGTGCAAGGGGATGCTATAGAAGCAGTCTTTAATATCAATGACTACTAAGGGCCACCCCTTAGGCACTGCGGCTGGGGTTGGTAGTCCGGGTTGGGTGGCCCCCATGGGCTCTAAGACTGCATTTACCCTCCTCAGATCCATGAGCATTCTCCATTTCCCTGACTTCTTTTGAATGACAAAGATTGGTGAGTTCCAAGAGCTAGTGGAGGGCTCAATGTGTTGGGCTTTAAGTAGATCACTTACTATTTCTTCTAAGGCCTGTAATTTGTTCTTGGTAAGGGGCCACTGATCCACCCAAACGGGTTCAGTAGTGCGCCATGTTAGGGCGATGGGTGTCGGCCCACCAGCGGCCCTCAGGGGTTTTCCGGAGCGTCGGTGGTAATGGTGACGCCCATGGCGGACAACACATCTCTTCCCCATAATGACGTGGGGATGGGGAGGCACAGGGGGCGGAATCTCCCTGACTGTCCCTCGTGACTCCATTTCAGGAATCTACGGGACTTTTTGGCTCGGGTTCCCCCCGAAACCCCTGTGAGGTTAAGTTCCTCCTCTGAAAGTTCCCAATTCCTGTCCCAATCTTCCATCGCTACGACTGAGACGTCCGCCCCGGTATCTACGAGCCCTCTTATTCTCTTTCCTTCCACCTCCACCACTATGGTGGGTCTGCCTGTAGTTATCGCTTGGGTCCAAGCTACAAAAGTGTTTCGGTATTGCGGTTCCTGCCAATTCTTATCAAGCCAGGGGAGTGAGATGGCGGTGGCAATGGGCTCTCCTTCTTTTAGGGGAATCGGGAATGCATGGGGGTTGGTAAGGGTTATAGTGGTCTGACGGGGGCTCAGCACCTGAGTATGTACAATAATTTGTGGCGCTTGGGCAGTGCCTATGATTAGACGTGGCCAATCTCTAGGGGGTACTTCAGCCGATGTAGTGGTCCATGGTTCCAACTCCTTCCCTTCTCTCGAAGTCAGAACCGCTGAGGGATTTAAGAAGTGGTTCTCGGAGCCGGTCCCTCGGTTTTCCGGCTCCAGTCGCCGTTTCCCGGCCCTTGCCTGGTCCCCTTGACTAGTCCCTTAATCCTACAGTGCTTCGCTATGTGTCCCGGGCGTCCGCAAACAAAGCACTTTATACAACGTTTGTCTTTGCTACGGCACTCAGATTGAAAGTGCCCAGACTTTCCACAGCTGTAGCATTTTCCCTGCCGCTCTCCTTTTCCCCCTTTCTCCCTGGCTAACATCACCTCTGTTAAAGTCTGAATTGACGTTTGTAATGAGTCTTGAGGGGGGCCCTCATCCAGAGCCTTGTCAATTATTTCTTCCAGTGAGGGGTCAGCTGGTAGGGTCGCCAGGATGCCCTTAGAGTGGGTGAGCCCTCCCTTAACTAGCTGGATGATCAATTGTTGGGTGGCGGGCCCACCGCCAAACTTCCCCTCTGCCGTGGTCTGCACCCTGCTTATAAATTGTAAGGCGGTTTCCTGGGCCCTCTGTTTTAGTTGTTGGAGGGGGAGAGCGGTACCCTTGGCCAGTTTTCCGAGGGCGCCGAGGCCACAGCGTTGTACTCCCGCTATCACCTCCTCTGGCAACCGCAATTGTGCGTCTATAGCTGTGTACTGCCCAAACCCTGTCAGTTGATTAATGGTTTCATCAATGTTATCTGGGGCTAGCCGTTCTGCCTCAAGTTTGGCCTCACGGCGCCAGTAGGCAGCCCAGGCTGTGAAAAGAGCCGGATCTAGTATAGCCTGCATGGTCTCCTCCCAGTCACCTGGGAGCCACGCTGCTACTGTTACTGAGGAGGCGAGTAGTCGTTTGACATAGGCTGAGCCCGCGCCATGAGACTTTACAGCCTCCCTAAGGTCCTTTATAAATTTGTAAGGCAGAGGTCGACGTACTCGGACTGTTTGACCATTCTCCACTTGTACAAACACGGGGAAGGCGGAGGGAGCTTGTGTTAACAGATCTAAGTCCTCCTCATCTACTGCCTCACCTCGCTCCAAAGCGGTATGAATGGCCTGATGGAGCCGAGATCGATGAGGGCCTGAGGGGGCCCCCGGTACTGGTGGTGTCTTAGCCTGAGAGCCACAGCAGCTGCGGGCCCCGCGGCACGATTTTTCTACAGCCAGCGGCTCTTCGGTGTTACTTTCGTTTTTGAGCGCAGCCGCGGCCGGCGCGTGGGGCTTGTCTATGATCTGCAGCGCCCGCATCTCTCGCCATGGATAAATAGGGGGTCCCTCCTCCAACCCTTCTAGGCCCTCCGGGCCCGGGGGGGGTGGCCATTCCCCCTCCTCGCATAGTGAGGCCCCCGTCTGTACTTCTTGTGGCACTAGGCACGGAGGCGGTTCGGGCTTCAGAGCAGCTGCCACTGTGGCGTACAAAGTGAAATCCCGGGGTATCAAGTACTCGGGATCCACGTGGTGAAAAGAGGACATTTGGGTGCCCACTACTTGCCATTCCGTTAGACCTACCCCTGTATGGGCGATCCAAGGGGAGACTTTCAGGATCTTTTCCACCCATGCCCTGCACTCCTTTATATGTATTTTTATGCCTGAACTCTTACACAACGTAAAGATCTGACATGCTAATACTCCCGTATCCTCCGGCTTAAACTGTTTCACTACTCTGTTTCCCATGTCTACTTCTAGGTGCCCCATAAACCTAGGGCGTCTGACTCTTCCCCTCTTAGCTAAGGGGGCTTACCTCGCTCGGCGGGGACGGATGTCCCTGTTCGGGCGCCAGCTGTCCGGTTCTATTGCCGGACCCCGAGCGAGCTCCTCTCGGTGGGTTCCGCTTCGGACGTCTCCGGATTCCCTCCCCGGGGGATGGCGGGCAGGGACTCAGTCAGACACTGCTTCGGGAGGCATATGTTTTATTAATTGCGGAGGAATCCCCCGAGCAAGCTGGGGCGTTGGTCCATATAGGGTCTGTCTTCCGGGTGGCCACCCCAATCCGCCCCGAGGGCGAAACCTGCCACCTGTATGGAGCAAAGAGTCTCGCCCAATCCCATCCTTACACGTACCCCGTGTAGGGAGCCGTGTCTTTCTGGGATTGGGGGCTCTCACTCCCAGGGAGGTTCCTATCCGCTCAGGCGTCTAGGGCCGACCGCCCCTAACACATATCCAGATACATGTGGATGCAAAGAAAAGGAAGTTAAAATCATGGAGAGATTATGGTAGTGAATAGGAGCAATATCTGCTCCAGCCTATGCATTTGTAGGCAAGAAGATTGAGAGTTCAGTCACTTAAGTTTTGAAATCAGAAAGGCCACATGTTATACAAGCCAGACTAAGTGCAAAAGCTGGCAGTTGAGGCCAAAATGGACTGGTTTTGGAGTCTTTCTTATGAAGAGAAAATTTATGATCATGTAGCACCCCATTTTTTTTCCTGTAACATAGAGATGCTTAAAAAATTTTAATTCTACACTAGAAATTATTAACTACTAGTGGTTTTTTTTGTTGTTTTTTAAATATTCCAGAGGTAGTATATCAGGAGAAACTACTGGGAATCATTCACACTGAAAGTATAAATAGCCACATTTAAAAATCATACTTTTATAGGCACTTAGGTACTATTTGGTATGTGGCAGGGTCCAAAATGTGGCAAAATAACAAGAGTGTTGAATTGGAAATAAGTATTATATACCCTCTTTTCCCACCTTTATCCCTGGCCAATCAAAATGGACACAATGAATGGTGTCATTAAGGAATTGGTACGTGTGGTTTTTTTGAGTGTGTGTGTTTTACATGTGCTGATGTAATTTGCATTCTGACTCTACAGACAGCCAGCTCCCAAGGTGATTGCAGAGAACTGAGTAATTACTTTTTCCAGATCTAATCTAAATTACTACAGAGTAGCCTAGTGACTTTAAAGTACAATTCCAAACAAATGCAAAATAATAAAAACAACAGTGGTGAAACAGTGGATGGTGCCATCTCTGTGGCTTGGTATGTGACCCTGGGAAAATCACCCAGCTTCTCAGTCCCCCAGTCAACTCTTAATGACTATTAAGTTGCCAAATAGCTGATTTGAATGAGTAGAAGGAGCTCCCTATGCAGATGAAATCACACAATCAGAAATTAACAGCAACGATAATAATAATGTCCTTGAGAATTCAACAAAAATAGATTGTACTGAAATTGGAGCATTATCACAGATAAAATTGGTGCCCATAATTGCTCACATGTAACAATGATCCACAAAAATTTCAGAATACCTCTTAATAGATATTATTATACCAACACTCATAAAAACTACGCAGAATGAAAAAGTTTTCAAAAAATAGAGACAATGGGAAAAAAATCAAAACCAAGTAAGAACAGGTTGAGCTGTATCTGTCATCTCCATTGTCCTATGTGTTACTGGAATTGTCCCAAAGATCCTTTCAGTGAGCCTACAGAAGAGTTTGCATCTCAATATTTTTATTCAACTGCAAAAAGTAGAGGTTTTGTCCATCTGAGTAATTGTATGTAGCATATTACCTATGAAGGAACATCAGCAGGATAGCGACTTATCCTAGGACCATTTCTATTTAGACTAATGAAGGTGAGAAAAATGAGATGGAAAATAACCATAATAATGAAAACAATTCATATTTCCATAAGAAATAACTCATATTTCTATGGCACTTGAAGATTTATTCAGCATTTTGCTCACAACTCTCCCCACTCCAAGAGAGAGAATTCAAATCAGCTTTTCCTTATTTTATATGTAACACTGACTACCTTTGATCCCACTTCCGGAAGGTTCACCTTTCCCCTAGGATTCTCCAGTACCCTTAAGGAGATGTGTGGTTGCTAGGTTTTCTGTCAATGGTTCTAACCCCCACCAATCAAAGTGTGGCCTTTGATTGTGAGGGAGGGTCCTGCACCTCAGTTCCAATTAGCAACTAACAGCTGAAGTAGCTTATCCGAAGAAATATTTACTTCAGAGAGTATAATCACAAATATACAGATTTACTCCACAACTCTTGGAAGGCATAACCAACCCCACCCTCGCCTTTGCCCCACCTCAGTCTCTGGGGGAGGGGCAAGGGGTTAAGTGACAGTTTAGTTTGGGTCCTATAGAGCACAGTCCCAGTTTCAAGTCCAAACCCCACCTTGGGGCTCAAGTCCTAGGTACCCGGGCTTCTCATGGTTTCCCTATTGTGGTGTCTAGCTGCAATATCCTACCTGCAATTCTAGCTCCAAGATCTCCATAGCTCAAACTCCCAGGTCCAGTGGGGATCACTGCCAGCCCCTAAAACTGAGAAAGACAAACAAAACAGGGTAGAAACAAACACAAATAGCCCCACACCTATTTCTCAGCCAATCTAAAATAGAGGGGTTCAGTTCATGGTGCCAACTGTTGGGAGTGAACTATGACCTTCAATTTCTAGAAGCAGCAGGAAAGTTACTGACCTCCTCTGTCTGGCTAATTTTAACCTGTTTCAGCTAATCAGCCAATCAAAAGAGACTATTACCTGCTCTCATAGTAGGAAAACTAGATGCAGGGTGTTTCCATGTTAAGTGGTGGTGTTGCAGCCTGAGAGGTTGAGACCCCTCAAAAACTGGAGTACAGGATGGGGTTGTCTGGAATGAATTGACAGACTCAAGCATTCTTTAAGTCAAGCTAGCAAAAAGTTTATTGTTACGCTTTTCATCAGGCAAGGATTCTTAAGGAAGCTGTGACCTTAGAGGGGTACAGTTAAAGTTCATATAGGATAAAAATATAATAAAACATGTGCCAAATATGCTAATGAGGTGATTCAAGGCAGGACTAGGGAGTGGTTAAGAAGTGGTCAGTTCTTAAAGGAACATGTACTTTTTGTATCTACTGCGCAGGAGTTTTACCCAGAATTCACTAGGAAAAGCCCACAAAGGAGGGACCACATGGAAGTGTGGGTTTAGACCTGCTACTGTCACTAAGTTAACTAGAGGTCAGAGGTAACTGAGAGTTGTCCAGTCTGCCACTAGTCAGTGTCTTGTTTGACAAGATAGATGTAGGGAGTATACATATGTCTTAGGTCTAGAATACAGATAATGAGGAGTCCAGAATGTAGATAATGAGGTAGGGTGGTAGTGTAGATAGTCCAGTGCAAAGCCAGTTCCAACTAATAATTCCTTCAGGTGCTGTTTGTATCTGCACCAGGGAAAGAGATAAGTGTCTTGCTGGGGACCACCCATAAGTAATTGCTAGGCATAGTGTCCTTGGACTGGGGGAGAAACTGACAGGGATAGTGTTTCTGAAGCTAAGGAGAAATACGGTCATGGAATTGGGGTTCCAGTACAAGCACCCAAGCACCCCATCAATGGGTGATGTCCAGGGCATGCCTCATATATAGAAAATAAAATGAGGTTCCTAGAGATAAAGTGACTTGGCAATAGTGAGTGAATGTCAGTCACTCTCAGAAATAGTTTGCTCCCCTCAGGCATGGCATCTGTTATTATTTGGGGTTTCTAGGGAAATCAGACCTGTGATTTCTCATGTAAAAAACTACAGTGAGGAAACTCCCTCTTCAAAGGCAGTTTGACAATTGCTCTGCAAGCCTGATAGTTAGCTGGAATACTGAGAGGAGGAGTAACCTTTTTAGGGTCACAGACAGGTCTATATGCGTCAGAGGCAGCATTTGAATATCCATCTTCAGGGCTGAGAGGCCTTCTCTCAGTCCACAAAGTCATATTGCCTTTCAGGCTCTCCATTAGAATTGGCCAGCACTACAAAACCCAAGTTAAATCATTTTTAAAAACAGTCCCTATGTGTGTACATGCACCTCATTTTTACCTGACATGAGGGGCACCATGGAAGAGTGGAAAGAAAGCAGAGCTTGGACTAAGGAAGACCTGGGTTCAAAACCCACCTCAGACACTTACTAGCTGTGTGGCCATGGGTTCGTCACTTAACCTTTCCATGCCTTTGTTTTTCTCCTCTGTAAAATTAAAGAGTTGGATTCAATGGTTTCTAAGGTCATCTTCTAGCTCTAAATCTGTGATCCCATGATAAATTAGCATACCAATTATAACTCAACATCCTCCTTTCTCTCTGATTTCTGTTCATGGCATTAACATTAACAGTGACTTATGCTCCAAAATTGTGATACATCTTCAGTTCTTTCTTCTTCCTCTACTTCCATACTCTGTTACCAAGGGAAGAGAGACTTTCTTTACAATATTTCTCATGTATTCCTCTTCCTTGCCATCCTGACTGATCACCACATTTAGTTACTGCCTCAGGTGATGATGATTATAATAGCCTCTTAACTGGGCTTCTCAATCTCTCCCACCTCCATGCCCACCCTCACCTCCAATTCTGTCTGTGTACAGCTTTGAGAATAGTCTTCCCAAAATAACTGCTTCTATAGCATCATTTCCCAATCAAACATATTCTCTAACACCTACTGAATCAAATCTGAGTTCTTTAGGCTAATATTCAATTCCTCCACATTTTTGCCCCAACCTACCCCTCTAGCCTTATTTTCCAGTATTCTTCTATGCCCACACTATGGTCCAGGCAAATTAATCTATTTTCTGGGTGGTAAACACAGTTTCTCACTTCAGCTCTTTAAGTCAACTTATTCCTTCCATCTGAAATGTCCTATTTTTAAACTATCTATTTCACCCTTTAGGCCCTTAGCTTCTCCCCACAGGGTTCTGCTCTCCTACCACGCTACCTCTACCAATGAAAATCCAGCATCTTGAGTCTCTCCTCTTCCTCCTCCCTCCAGTCCTTTTCCTCTTCTTCATTCTTCTCTTTTCTCATCTTCCTCCACATCATTGTGTTCATTTCCGTGCACCACGCCTTTGGAAGTACATTGACCATTTGAAGCTCCTCTGTTATAGGGCAAAGAACAAAAAGCTGTGATATATGAGGAGTCAGTGAGAGGAACTAGGGGTATTTAGCTTGGAAAAGAGAAGATTTGGAGTGGGGGAGGAAGGAATGAGAACTCTCTTCAAGTAGTTAAAAAGCTGTCCTGAGAGAGATGGATTAGATTTGTTCTAATTGGCCCCAGAGATCAGAACTAATGGGCAGAAGTTGCAGGAAGACAAGTTTTAGCAAAGAATCAGAGCTGCCCCAAAGTGGAATGGGCTGCCTCAGGAGACAGTGAAGTCCTCTTCCCTGAAGGGCTTCAAGAAGAGCCTGGGTAACTAAAAGATGTAGGATGCCTGTTGAGTTAGGGTTTGTGCTAGCTGCCCACTCATATCCCTTTCAACTCTGAGATCCTAGGATTAGAAGCTTGTGTTAAACAGTTATCCCTGAGCATGGAACTTGAAATAGAACTCTGCATAACTATGGCGAGGTTGAATTTAGTCCAGTCCAATAAATATTTCTTAAGCATCTATTACGTGTAAAGTTTTGTGTTTGATGGTGGGATGATTCAAAGATAGATATGATACAGGTCTTTCTCTTAAGATCTTACCTTCTAGGTGGGAGAAGGAATAGGAAAAGGAGCATACAGATGACTATGGTACAATATATTTTGTGAGTACCAAAATGGATCCAGACAAAGTTCTTGAAGAAAGTTGAGGGGAAGAAAATTACTTTCAGCTAGTGATGAGAAGGGGATCAGGGGACCAGGATCACCCTCCTCCCTCTCATTTTTATCTCTCTGCTTTGAACTTGTCTCACTTTTCCCTGTGTTGCAGCTATTTGTGTGCTTCCTCTATTCCTCTAGGAGATTGTAAGCTGCATGAGACCAGGGCTTTGTAGCACTAGTACCTGGCACAGAGTCTTGTATACAGTAAGTGCTTAATAAATACTTTTTTGACTGTGATATGATTTAATTTCATTACTTTTCTTGATTTATGAGACTATAAGTTCCATGAGAGCAAGAATTTTTGCATTTTCTACAAACTTTATATCTCTCCAAGAATGAAGCACAGGGCTCTGGACACAATAGGTATTTATTCATTTGTTCATTCACCGACCATTTATTAATACCATGTGCCTAGGCACTGTGATAGGTACTGGGGTTACAAAGACAAAACCAAAATATCCTTTGCCCTCAAGGAGCCTGTATTCTATTAATAAATCTAATTAATAAATATTCATTGCTAATTTTATTCTGAGAGCGTTGTGCCTTTGCCTGGTACTTATTGTTTAGCAGGTACAAGTTGTAAGTTGTCATCATTTTATATTTAGCTTTTTTTGCTTTGTGCTGGCAATTTACAGTGGTGCCCATACAGATTATTCATGCCAGTGGTAGGATTAAAAGTAAAAATAGCCATGCCAATCATTGTCCGTCTGCCCACCCCATAATAATAAACTCAGCCCTAACTTTCTCAGTCCTTACTCTTCTCTGCCTCACCTTTACAATGTGCCTATTTGTGTGTTTCTCTGATGTAAATGAAGTCTCTCTCATTCCCTCTCCCTGTCTCTGACTCTCTCTATCTCTGTCTCTCTCTCTGTATCTCTCTCTCTCTCTCACATACACACACACATATATCTCTTAGACACACACACATCTCTCTTTCTCACATGCACACACACACACACACACACACATACACACACACATACACACACTTCTTCTAGCTTCCGGTTTTTGCTAAAAAAAAAAATAGCTTTCTCCAGAAGATACCACATCCCTAGGCACCTCTCCAAGGCTGACTATTCCTTCTCTCAAACCTCTGGTCATATAAGGCCAGAAGGAGGAAATAGCATTCTCTTTGTTCCCCAGTGCCACATTCAGACCTTCTTTCTGCCATCTATCTCAGCCACCACTTCTTCTTCTTTAAAGTTCACACCCTCCTGCCCACATGTCATCACCTGTGGAACTCCAAGCCAGTCTCCTTCCTCCCCACCATGTTCAATAGCTGGCTCACAGTCTCCTCCTCTTCCTCAGTCTCTGCTTCCTTGTTTGCCAGAATTCCTCAAATTTCTCAGCTCTTATCGCTTCTGTCTGCAGTCTACCTCATCCTCTCACAGGAGTGCTCCTGCCTTCAAACCTCTTTCTTCTTCCCTGCCTAAACTCAATTACCTTTGCCCTAGGAACACAAAGTCCAAGTTACATCTTTGATAATGTTTTGGCCTCAAAGATTTCATTCTACAGTAAAGACAGCATTTTGTAACTGAATTACATAATGGCAGGGGCTGAAAGGAACCTTATTATATAGAAAGGGATGTGGAATATTGAATGAATGAATGGAAAAAAGAAATACCTATTAGGTGCTTACTATGTGCAAAGTATTATGCTAAATGCTGGGAATAAAATCAGAAAATTAAGACAGTCCCTGAGCTCAAGAATTCATATTGTAGGGGCTGCTAGGTGGCGCAGTGGAGAGAGCACTGGCCTTGGAGTCAGGAGGATCTGAGTTCAAATCCAGCCTCAGACCAGACACTTGACACTTACTAGCTGTGTGACCCTGGGCAAGTCACTTAACCCCAACTGCCAAAAAACAAACAAACAAACAAAAAAAAGAGAATTCATATTCTGATGGGGGGAAGCAATATATATAAAAGGTTTCAGATGCAAGTCAAGTGGAAAAGGCCCATGGTCCTTAAGATACAGATAACAATCCATCTTTTTTGATACTATTTCCACTTATACACCCTTTTTCATTTCTGGTATTAAACCATTTGACAGGACTTTGGTAGAGAAAACTTTCTTTTCTGGGTCTTTAGTAGGTATGGCTGCTGAGGAGGTAGGGGCTATGGCACCTTTCCATTGGTGGTAAGAGGTCAGTAACTGGAGATGATGGTACCTTGCTGTAACACTATTCTGGAATCTAAGTCTCTCTCCTTGATCTGTGCTTGAGAGTCAGTTGGCAGATACCAATACATTGATATAGTCAATCAGCTTTCATTTTTTTAAAAAAAAATTTATTTTATTTTTAATTTATGGAATAAAACAAGCATTTCCATAGCAAAGTATAATAATAATAAAAGATGATTATACATGAAACTGCAAATCTATTACGTAAAACTTGCTATTCCTTTTAAATATATAATAAAGTTATTGTGTAATTTTTTTTCTTTTTTCCCCTCCCCCAACTTAGAGATGGCTACATTAGATACAAATATGCATGTGCGTATATATATATATTATATATGTAAAATCATTCTAAACATCCTTCTATTTATCATTTCTTTCTCTGGATGCTTGACAGTAGCTGCTCCCCAAAATTAAACCTGTTTTGGCAGGGTTGGGGGATTTTTGAAAAATCATTTTAGTATTGTCCATGGGGTTTTCTTGGCAAAGATACTGGAGTAGTTTACTATTTCCTTCTCCAGTGAATCACATTTTGTCAGAACACTCCACTATGACCTGTCTGTTTTGGGTAACCTTGCAGTTTCATTGAACTATGCAAGATTTTTATGACTTTATAAAATGTCAAAACTGAAAGGGGCCATCGAATATAGATATGTCAGAGCTGGGAGGAACCTTTTTAATCTCAAAAATTTTTGTGGGACTCCCGTATGAGAATAGTTGCATTCAGGCTGCATATTTTATTGCTGTTAAAAAAAAAAAGAACAAAAACCTGTTTGTTTAGCAGATGGATTTTCATCCTCCTGGCAATACCCCCACGGCCTTCGAGAGATCTAGGGCTTATTAGTTAGAAACTTCTGATTTTGTCCCTATCTTATTCATTTTACAGAAGGAGAATCTGAGGTGCAAAAGGGGACATAACATGGCCAAGAACATAGAAGAAAGGCTTGGACTTTGTTACGTGTGTAACCTTGA